TCTTCTATTATGGATTTTGTCGGCATTGACTTGGTCTCACGGTTATTTCAATGGAATCTTCATTTATATATTTTTTTGATAAGTAAATTTCATTAAAGAGCACTCAAAGGGGAGTGCAGCCCAAGAACAAAAGCCAGACCAAGAGGGTCTGCTACACAATCAATGTATCCACAAAAGAAACTATATCCCCCGCTGATTTACAATTCCATCCCTAAACCTCCCCCCCCCCCCCCCCCAAAATAAAGAATATAGAACTTGAGCACCCAAGCAACTCCATCAAAGGACCGCCTATTCCTCTCGCGCCACAGCCCCCACCAAAGGCAAAGGGGTGTCACCCTCCATGCATCTCGGACCTGCCCCCTCACTGCACGCCCTCTTCAAGCCTCAAGCATGCTCGTGGGTAGGGCTGGCTAAAAATGACCCAACCTGTCAACCCGCCCAAATCCGCCCAGTAATTAATGGATTGGGTGAACCATTTTATACTTGGTAAAAAATGGATCAGATTTAAATGACATTACATTTAGTGGGTTGAGAACAGGGTGAATATGGGTACCCGTGTTTACCTGTCCAATATCACCTGTATAAACACCCACCACCTATATAAGCAGTTAAACACCCATCAAAAGGAACCCTAATTATTCAATCTTGTGCGGCTCTCTCTCTCTCTCTCTCTCTACCCGGCCCTCTCTCTCTCTCTCTCTCTACCCGGTGCTCTCTCTCTAGGCATTTTCTTTCTATCTCTGCATCGTGCTCTCTTGATTCACATCTCAGGTTGATTTTTTTCTTGTTTATATGTGTTGTTTTTGTTAGATCTTGTTTACTGCTCTCTTTCCGTTCAGTTGATCAAGTATTAAGAGCTTTTCACATGTTCATTTATGTGCTATTAGAAATTATGTGTAGGATTATTTGACCTCAGTATTATTAGTGGCTTTCCCTTTTGTTGCTATCTTTTATTAGTATTGGGTTTTTTTGGTTAGGTCTCAGTTTTTGTTCAACTAAATCATTTTCCAGATGCAAAATATTGATGTTTTCCTTAATCTCTGTTCTGTGAGTCCTTGTATAAATTTAAATATATATATATATTTTCTTATAGAAAAAGTGAATCTTTGTGTTCAATTGACTCTGTAAATTATTCTTATTAGAAGATTTCCTGGTGGGCTTTAATCTATGGGTTTTTTTTTTTTTTTTTTGATAAGTAAAAATATATTAGAAAAACGTTCAAAAGGGGAACGCATCCCTAATACAAGAGAAAAGATCTAAGGACCAATAGAATCCAAGAGATCAAAGAAATCATCAATCGAGGAGCATGTACTTCCTCTAACATAAAAGAATAAAGAACGAAGAATATGAATTTTTAAATTAGCTAAGGACGATTCTTTTCCTTCAAAGGATCTGTTATTTCTTTCACGCCACAAACACCACCAGACACAATGAGGAACAATCTTCCAATAAGCACGAGCTTGTTTCTTAACAGGACAGCTTTTCCAAGCGTTAATCAATTGAGAGGAGTGCTTAGGCATTACCCAAAAAATGCCGAAAATGCTGAAAATAAAACTCCAACAACCAAACGCCACAGGACAATGCAAAAGAATGTGATCCACAGATTCACTATCATCTTTGCATAAACAACACCAATTAACAATGACGTTGCCTCTCTTTCTCAAATTGTCCAAAGTCAAAATCTTCCCCAATGTAGCTGTCCAAACGAAGAACGCGATTCGAAGAGGGGCTTTAGAGCACCACACGGACTTCCAAGGAAACTCGGAACCAACGAAATTGGATAAATGAATAAACATAGAGCGGTCATCATACCGACCATGAGCCAAAGGAACCCACAAATATCATCACTCCCTCTGCCAATATCCTTCTGCCTATACAAAATATCCAAAAAAGCAGAAACTTCCTCCATTTCCCAATCCTGAAAAGACTGCCTAAACCGCACATCCCACGTAACTCCATTGTTATCAAGATGATAACAATCAATCACGAAAACATGCTTATTAGTTGCAATGCTATAAAGCCTAGGAAATGAGTGTGAAAGCAACTGGTCGCCACACCAAAGATCCTCCCAAAAACGAACATGCCTGCCATTACGAACTTTGAATCTAATAAGAGTAGAGAAAACATCCCATCCCTTCCGAATAAATTTCCACAAACCAACGCCTCCCGTAATAGTGACTGGAAGAGATGACCAACCCCCACTCCCCTCACCAAAACGACACGAGACAACTCTTCTCCACTGACGATGTCGTTCCCTTCCAAATCGCCATAACCACTTTCCTAAGAGAGCACGATTAAAAGGAACAATTTTTCGAATGCCTAACCCTCCGAATCTCAATGGTTGGCAAACTTGATCCCAATTAACAAGATGATACTTAAACTCCTCTCCCCTTCCACCCCACAGAAAATCCCTCTGAATTTTTTCAATTCTATCAGCAACAGAACATGGAATTTGAAACAAAGATAAAAAATAGGTAGGAAGGGATGAAAGAGTACTCTTTATAAGTGTGACAATCCCACCCTTAGATAGATACTGCTTTTTCCATCCTGCTAATCTTTTCTCATATCTATTAATCACTGAGTCCCAATTCCCAACCAGAGTAGAAGAAACTCCCAAAGGCAATCCTAAATAAGGAAGAGGAAAAGAACTAACTCCGCACCCTAAAACAGCAGCTAAGGAGGAAATATCTGGAACATCCCCCACTGGAACAAGCATACTCTTTCCGACATTAATCTTAAGCCCAGAAACTGCTTGGAAGCAAGCAAGAGTGCACCTCAGATATCTGAGTTGAGAAATATCAGCATCACAATATACCAAAGTATCATCAGCAAATAAAAGATGGGAAATCTGGATCTGATGATCAACATCTCTGCCAACTCTGAACCCCCTAATGTAACCCAAATCTTCCGCTTTTCTCATTAATCTAGTCAGACCTTCCATAACGATGAGAAAAAGAAAAGGAGATAATGGATCACCTTGCCGCAGACCACGTGAGCTAGCAAAAAAACCCGCAGGAGAGCCATTCACAAGAACAGAAAACATAACTGATGAGATACAAGTGTCAATCCATTTTATCCATCTATCACCAAATCCCATCCTCCGAAGAAGATACAAAACAAACTTCCAATTAACATGATCATAAGCTTTCTCGATATCAAGCTTACACAAAACGCCAGGAACCCCGCTTCTTAATCTAGAGTCAACACATTCCCCAGCAATAAGAACAGAATCCAAAATCTGCCTTCCACCAACAAAAGCGTTCTGCGATTCTGAGATAAGACCATCCAACACTTTACTCATCCTGGAAACAAGAACCTTGGCAATAAGCTTATACATACATCCGATTAAGCTAATTGGCCGAAAATCCTTGATATCAGATGCACCGCCCTTTTTAGGGATGAGAGCAATAAAAGATGCATTCAAAGATTTTTCAAATGTGCCATGAGAATAAAAATCCTGAAAAGTACTCATCACCTCCTCTCGCACCACCTCCTAACTCTCCTTTAAAAAGCGCATAGTAAATCCGTCTGGCCCTGGTGCTTTGTCCCCGTTGCAACTAGAAAGTGCCTTAAGCACTTCCTCTTCCGTGAATGGAATCTCAATACTATCCCTATCCATCGCAGAAATAGTATTAAATGGAAGACCATCAAGAGTAGGTCTTCGATCCAAAGTTTCAGTGTAAAGCTGCTGGTAAAAAGAAGCAATTCCTCCGCGCACATCTTCTTCTCTCCACAAATCGAAACCATTAACCCGAATACTTCCGATATGATTACACCTTCTGTGAGCATTGGCCAGTCTATGAAAGAATTTTGTATTCCGATCACCATCTTTTAACCACAAAGCCCGAGACTTTTGACGCCACGAAATCTCCTCCATATGAGCAATCTCAGCAAAAACCGCTTGACAAGAGGCTCTTTGAGAGCGTAAAGACTCCCTACTCTGTCCCACCTCAGCTAAACGATCAAGCTCAGCAATATCAGCAAGGGCTCTATTCTTTTTCCATTCAAGATTCCCAAAAACTTCTTTATTCCATCTCTTAAGCTCAGTTTTAAGAAACTGAAGCTTTCTAGCTAACACATAACTAGCAGAGCCTGTGAAAGACCCTTTTTGCCACCAAGACTGAACCTTCCCTTGAAAGTCTTCAGATCTAAGCCACATGTTTTCGAATCTGAAAGGAGTGCGTCTAGACCTCAAACCACCACAATCCAAAACAAGAGGTACATCCTTGTTTGGAGGTATGAAAATTTGTGAAAGTGGAAGGATGACTCATCCATCCTCTTTTCTCTTCCCTCCTTGTCTCCTCTCTACCAAACGAATGACGTTTGTTCATTCCTTCCTATCTTTCCTCCACCCCTCTTCCTTCCTTCCTTCCTATCAAATGGACCATAAGATGCACAATTATGCCTCTTCTTTCTTTTCTTAAGTCAGTGAACATGGTTCTGTAGTCCTTTTGAATTATTTTCTGCAACTTGCATATTTGATTAGGGCGTCATTGCATGGTCCACTTGTAAAATCCTTGGGCTGTCGAGCGTGAAAACGAGCATTCAAATCTTGAGAGTAGCCACTTCGTACAAATAATGCCCAATGTTAGGTTTGTATTCAGTTCACCCTCTCAACAACGTCTATTAATGGGTACCACAGCCCTTTTTGATTTGCATGTGTCATTCTTGACCTTCTTGGCACGAGTCTTCAACTCTTCATCAATATATGGAAGCATGTATTACTGGTACTCTTTAATTCTTATGCAAGATGGATCCCATTTTTGATGCCTCTTCTATCTATAAGCGGTTGAGTTGAGTTAAGTTGACATGCTGCTTACTTTTCCTTGTTATATGTTAGGTGTAGTCTTGTCCTTTTCATTTCGTAATTTCAATCTGGGCATCAACTTCCATTGTTGCATTTGTTGAATGCTCCTAGTCATTAGGGACATTGTTGCATTAGCATTTGTTGAATGTTGGCCTTATTTGTTGTTGTTCCGTGGGGGGACTTCATTATTCAGAGGTCTAGGCCCCTGGGGTCCAAATTTGGTTCGCAGGTACACAAGTGCTAGATTTGGTGCATACGCAACTGGTGACCTTTTGACTGAAGAGGAGTCCAGTTTACTGACAGGTACTTAATTAGATCTTTTGAAAGTGTATGGAGCATATTGACCTAGGAAGCACGGATATGGACATGGGTACGAAATGATAAAGAATAGGACACAGATACGCCAATTTTTTATTTTATTTTATTTTTTTATCATTATATATATAAATAATAATTTTTGCTAATTTTATTTATATAATCATGAAAGAAATCACTAATTTGGAGCTTAGAGTTAGATGTATGCCATTTTTGCGTTGTTAAATTTTATATTTATTTTTTAATTAACCCATTGTATATTTTAAATTGCACTTAGTCCCAAATTTAAAAAAAAAAAAAAAATTACAAAAGCGTCCCATCGTATCTTGAAGCTGTGTCCAACTAGAAAATAAAAGATTCAAATCTTAGTTGTATCCAACCAGAAAATAAGATATTCTAGCCGTGTCTGATGTCTGACACGTGTTGGAGAGTTCGAAATTGCCACGGAACCCTAGGAAAAGTGTCCGTGCTTCCTAGATACTGACTGACCATAAGTTTGTGTTTTCATGACAGATTATGCTTACCATACTCTGGCGGCTAAAGGTAGTGGAGAGCTGTGCTTAAAATATATCTTTTCCTTTGGTGCATTTGCTCGGATGCCTCTTTTACACAGGTACAATGGTTTCACTTTTTCAAAGCTTTTTCTTGGATCAGTAAAAGAAATAAATGATATTATTGCTGGAATATTTTTATTGGGAGATGACTAAGGGGTATAATCCCACTTGAGCCATAGATGTCAATGCAAAACTGCAAACTATTCCTATCTTTATTTATTTATTTTTGGCACAAGTTGCATTTTAAGATGGAAGGAGATTCCTTTCACTTTTAAGAATGAAATTGAACGGGTGGTGCCTCCCTTTCAAAGTGTAGCTCCACCTGATTTGACTAGGCTACCCGAAAGTAGATCAAAAAGTAATCGGTAATCCTACATAATCTTAATTCACAGAGATGGTTGGTTGTTTGGACTCGTGCAGAAGTGAAGCAAAGATAACTATTATTCGTTAAGCAGTTAGAAACCCAAATATCCCAAAACATTTTTTTTTTGATAAATAAAATGTATTAGAAAGCGTTCAAAAGGGGAACGCATCCCAAGAGAAATACCCCAAATATCCCAAAACATTACATGGCCTTTTTACAATTTTAGCCTCAATATTATTATAATCATATCAAAATTAACGTAGAAAATATCAATCTGATGAAATGACAAGCGGCTGCCATTGTAAAATCTGATAAAAAGGTAAAAGGTGATTGTCAAGATGAGTTTCTCTCCACCCGACCCCAATTCCTTTGTGGGGGGGTGGTTGAGTATCAACTAGGAAAAAAAAAGAAGGTTTCTCTCCACCCAATCTCACTTTGTAACCCGTCTTGTTCTTACACAAAATCAAAGATCCATTACATACAGGATGTTGTAATCATTGTTGTCCCCTCATGCAGTCTGTACCTCCACTGCAACACATTGGGGCTTTAAGCCCACCGGTTACCTCCACTTTCTTCCTCTTCTTTCCCTCTGCTTTGACGAGTGGTGAGCTGCGACAAATTTAGTGTCAACTGTTAAGTAATTTAGCAGTTCTCCTCTGATCTTGACGATGACAGGTCATTTTCTTGCCTTCGCTAAACCCCATGAGCTACCTGGTAAACTCAATTTGGAAGGGTCTTACACTATGTATATGTCTAAAGCATAAACCCTATGATAACTAATTTGGATTCATCACGGGAAGAAGAAAAAGCATATGGTAGAGTCCCAAGGATATAATTTGGTGGGCTCTACGAAGATAACAAATCCCCTCACAATCATAACAGGTATCCATGATATGTACATGAACACAAAAAATAAAGTTGGTACCACGTGGTGAAACTAGTGAGTTCTCCATAAATGTAGGATTGCACCAAGGATTGGTGCTATGCCCATATCTATTTGCTATAATCTTAGATGAAATAATAAAAAATTTTCAGAACGAGATTCATTTGTTCATGATGTTTGCGGATGATATAGTATTCTTAGGCACTTCTAGAGAGAACCTAACAACAAAACTAGAAATGTGGAGAAATGCGTTAGAATCAAAATGATTGAGAATTAGTCGAACTAAAACTGAGTATATGGAGTGCAAATTTAATAAAGACTCGGTTATTGATAATATAATGTTTACACTTCAAAATAAAAAAAATACTCAAAACAACGATTTTTAATGTCTAGGATGTATAATACGAAAGGATGGAGAGATAGATAGTGATATAACTAGTAGAATTCGAGTGGGTTGGACCAAGTGCAGACAAGCTGGTGGAATCTTAGCCAGGAGAAATTGGTACAATAAGCCGTGGATACACTTCTTGATAATGGAATTCGTGGAAAATTCTATAGGACCGTTATTAGACTAAAAATGAAACAAGAGTAACACCTTTATGTAGTGGAAATGATAATGCTGATGGATTAGTAGAGTGACTAGGAGAGATAGGGTCACTAATGGGAGGGAGAGAGAGAATACGGGTGACTCCCATTAGCGAGAAAATTAGAGAGAGTAGACATGGTTTGGACACCTACATCAGAGTTGTAGAGACGCACCGGACAAACGAGGAAGACTAGCTTTAATTGAAGGTAAGAGATGGAGAGGGCGACCAAAAATAACATGGATGAGGTTATTAAAAATGATTTTCAAAAGTTAAATATAATAGGCGAAATGACATGTAATAGGAAGGATTGGAGAAAGATAATTCATGTGGCCGACCCCATTCATATGGGTTATGGCAAGGATGACGGTGATGAAGATTTTACTATTTTTGGCCTATCAGGAACAATTTTGCAGGCTCTCATGCTTCTTTATATGACCGTTTTAGCCGGTTATTTTAATCAACTAATTTCATAAATTATGGCTTGCTTTAATCAACCTATTGGATTTATAAGATGGAGGGAGAGAGAGAGAGATGTAGAGAGAGAATTGGGGTCTTGTGATCTTAAGCAGATAAGGAAAGATCAGGAACAAAAAAGATGAAGAGATGCAAAGAGACAAAGGTGGCCTTGTGGCCACTGATTTAATCTTCAAAAACTGGTTGCTTCATAAAATGAAGATCTCTAGGCTCCTTAGAAAGACCTCTTTTTCTCTCTCTACATTGTTGCTGCTCCTCTTGCTATCTTAACCTCAAATGAAAATGTTACACCAACCCAATCATTGAAGCTGACCTGCAAAACCCAAGCTCCCTCCTTCAACTAAGATTACTTCTCAAACCCATCCCCAGACCCACCACTATGACCAATCCCTTTATGTCACTCCTGACCACATGAAATTCTCCGTCCACTGTTACTGCTGCCACCTTTGCCTTCCTCTTTATCTGCTGCAACAAATCAAATCTCACACAAATAACCTTCCTATCCACGGTCGAATAGTTTATTTTTATCCTTTATTTTATAAATTCTCAAAGCAGGATAAAAAATACAAAATTTGCAAATTTTTTGCAAGAACTTTTCTTCTTTTGTGAAAGTTGATAGACTTTTTTCTAAATGCTTATAATTTTTTTTTACGATATTATGATGAAATTTTAGTGAAATGAAATTCAAATAAAATGAAATATCGGTGCAAATATACTTTCATGAAGGCTATTTTGTCATACAAAAGAGCGGATAAACTCGTCATCTTAGAAGAATGAACTTGAAATTGTCATTTTGTTTAAAAGAAGGCAATTTGGGCATTGTGGGAATATACGATTAATTGGACCATCAACAACATAGGGGAATCATCAAAACCTCAAGGGAGGTTGATCATAGTTTTTGCTCAACTTCTACGTATGAGTGATAATTAAACTTAAAACTTCAAGGAGGTTATGGCAAGGTTGTTAAAATCGGGATTATACCTAGAATCGTTTTGGGCTCCGTAGAATCGGATAGAGAATCGTAAGATTCTACCAACTAATAAAAATACAGTTCAAACTAACTTCTTAAGCAATAATATCTTTAAAAATATAGCAAGAATAAGGCTAAAACACAAAAAAAAGAACACTAGAACAGAACAGAAGCAAGACGTGTTCTAATAAAGGAGTGCACAGACTTGATTGATTCGTAATTTCAAACAAAACATTGCAATACAGAAGTTTGGTTTGATTTGAGGGAGTTAATCTGGGCGGATAACAGGCCCTTCAGAAAAAGAAGAAAAAAAAAAGGAACAAAATAACGAAAGAACAGAGCAGAATCAGAACCAAAAAAAAAAAAAAAAAAAAAAAAAGAACCAAAAAATGAAGGAACAAATTTCAATCATCATATTCAGAAAAATAAACAAATTTCAGGAAAAAAAAAAGAAAAAAAGAAAAAGAAAAAAGACAACACTTTTTAAGTTTGAGTGATGTGAGAAGTCTATCAACTCTGTCGAAGAGAGTGTCAAACTGCTAACTAAATCAAGGTCGAAGAGCCAGCAAATGAGTTTGAGTGCCTAATTGAAGCTATCCATGTTGATGAGCCAGCGATGTCGAACAGAAGCCAACTTGTGGAGAAGAGATGACTTGTCGCGGAGCCAGCCATGTCAAGACTCTAGAGAAGAGTAGAAGAGAGCTACGGGTTGTGTGACTTTTGTCGCGATGTGTCTGAGACGGGAGAAGAGTAGAAGAGAGGCGAGAGCTACAGGTTGTGTTGCGATGCAGAAAATTAGGGCTTCGGATTTGAGTTGTAATGCTATATTGCTGTTTTGGGCCGTGGGCCTTTGTGTTTTAAGAAGCCCAACCATAAAAAAGTGAATAGGGCCATCCCAACAAAGGAATGAGTCAAAATCGGGCTAAGTAGCTAGAATCATACGATTCTGCGATTTAAGGCCCGATTCTATCGATTCTGGGGCGATTCAAGCACTGTTTGCAATTTTTATGCGATTTGGATCGATTCTGTGGGTGGGATCGTAGAATCGCAGCGATTCTACGACCCAGAATCGCGATTTTGATAACTTCGGGTTATGGTAATTTATTCTTTAAAATATCATCGCAATTTTACCTTCTAATAATTATCTTAGGTTATTGAGTCGTGTGTCGATTAATTCCTACTCAAATCTTAGGTTGAAATGAATGTCAAATGAGTTATTTTTCGATTATTGTCTATAATCGAAAGAAGATTATGAGAACACGTCAAGAATCTCTCAAGCTCAATGACATATCTAGATTAAGGTATGTTTCCATTCATGACCTAGGTCTGATCCTATTAGCATATATGATAGCCACGATTTATGGAATGACTTACCATATTAACAGAGATTTGATTATGCATATGTTAGCATATATGATAGCCACGATTTATGGAATGACTTACCATATTAGCAGAGATTTGATTATGCATATGTTAGCATATATGATGGCTACCATTTATGTAATGACTTATTATATTAGCAGATATTTGATTATGCTATAGAATATGCCATAAAATATAGTTTAGAATATGCTGTGATTTGATTTAGATTTTATTTTGCTTCCTTTCTTGTAATATGAGCATGTGCTCTTTTTATCTATAAATACTAGAGCTGTGAATGAGTGATTTATCTCATTCAAGCCTTTACACGATTCTTTCCTTTTTCTTCTATATTGTATTTCTACTTGGTATCAGAGCCAGTTCCTTTTCACACCTTTCAGCAGCCTTGCTACTTGTGTGAC